TCCCTCTCCCTTCCTCTCTGAAATCAGTAAAAATATATTTAAAAGAAACTGAATCCTGGGTTAAGCAATGTACCCAAGGGGACATGTCTAGTTGATAGCAGAGCAGGGCTTGAACCCTAAAGTACTTGCTTGACCCATTCTTCTAAGGGGTCTCTCAGAATCCTATTCCCAAACAACTGTTTCCCTCCCTTTGTAGACAGGCTCTTCATTCTCTCAAGATAACCTCAGAAAGGGAACTGGACTTTGGAGCTGATGCAGTTCCGCTTCCATCACCCGGGGTTCTGCTCCAAGCCTGCTAGCCCACTGTGACCCGCTCATTTTTGGACGCAATGGTTTTAGTGCATTTGTCGATGGAAGGCCCTCTGCTGGCCACTTGGAGAAATGCATGAAGAGTGGATGGAGGAGCCCAGGGCAGCAGCGAAGTGGAGCAAAGGCACCTGGGATAGGTGGTGCAGGAGTGCCTTCTAGTCAGAGCCCCCGCTGCTGCTTTTTAAACAATTGATATTGTTTTAAAATTCTAATATAACACATATAACAAAATCAAGCAATATCAAAGTATATATATATTTTTAAAAATATATATATATATTTTTTGTTTTTTTACAGAGAGGAAGAGAAAGGGATAGTTAGAAACATTGATGAAAGAAAAACATCAACCAGCTGCCTCCTGCACACCCCCCACTGGGGATGTGCCCACAATCAAGGTACATGCCCTTGACCGGAATCGAACCCGGGACCTTTCAGTCCGCAGGCCAAGGCTCTATCCACTGAGCCAAACCGGATTCAGCTTGACAGTTTTTAAGGCCCAGAAACTCTTGCTGGGCAGCTACCTGTCCAGCCAAGACTCTGGAGAATCCTTTCTTGGCCTCTCCAGAGCGCAGACTTTTAGAATGGACATAGGCTACTGCAAAGTGGCTGGACACACCTAATTGTTATTTTGGAGGGCTTCAACCTCTGAGAACTTGGTGAAAACCAGACCCTTTCCCCAGGAAAATGCACTCACACACACAATTTCCCACCTTAGTTCTGGACTCCAAGTTCCGACCAGTCCCTAGGCCCCCAAATCCATCCTCACTGCCAGCCTCCTCCTCAGCCCCAGCCCCTAAGGTAAAGAACTGCCTGCCCCAGAGGCACTCAGGTGGTGAGGGCCTGGTCTGATGCTGTATCTTTGTGGTCAGCCCCACTCACCTGTTCTAGAGTGCTATTATAAATTCCCTAGAGGCTGATTCATGCATGGGGGTGGTGCCCCTCAGCCCAGCCTGCACCCTCTCTAATCTGAGACCTCCCTCTCACAATCCAGGACTGCTGGCTTCCAACCGCTTGCCTGCCTGCCTGATCACCCCCTAACCACTCCCCTGCCAGCCTGATCACCTAACTGCTCCTCTGCTAACCGGATTGCCCCTAAGTGCCCTCCCCTGCTGGCCTGGTAACCCCAAACTGCCCTCCCATGAAAGCCTGATTGCTCCCAACTGCCTTCCCCTGCTGGCCATCTGTGTCCACGAGGGTGGCCAGTTTGTGTTGGAGTGACAGTTAATTTTCATATTATTCTTTTATTAGACAGGATGGCTTCTGCCTAGGACCTCCAGAAGGAGGGTAGATGCTGAGAAGAAATGGACATTTCATAAAAGCAGGGGGAGGTGAACTAGGAACAGAAACCCCAGGCATTAAAAGGGGAACAAGCCTAATTACTCAGCTCCTTTTCTGGGTGGCTGTATCTCATTACCTAGTTAACTGCACCAAACACTAGACAGACTAACAGCAGAAGAATTTATTTACTTTTAATATATTTTATTGATTTTTTCACAGAGAGGAAGAGAGAGGGATAGAGAGTTAGAAACATCGATGAGAGAGAATCATCGATCAGCTGCCTCTTGCACACCCCCTACCGGGGATGTGCCCGCAACCAAGGTACATGCCCTCAACCAGAATCGAACCTGGGACCTTTTAGTCCGCAGGCCAATGCTCTATCCACTGAGCCAAACCGGCCCCGGCAGCAGCAGAATTTATTACAAAACAAGCGCTGCACACACTGCTCCACCTTGGCCCTGAGCATGCCGCCGAGGTCCTTGGGTAGCAGGAGGAACCTTGGAGGGAAGTGGCTCCTGAGACACAGCCTCAGCTGGGCGGGTGAAAGGAAGGGCCGCGGCAGGAACTAGATCCATGTCATTCTGGGGCCCGAGAAACCCTAAAGACAGGAGTGGGTGCAGCTGACTAAGGACTTTCACCGCTGCTCCAGCATACCTAGAGGTCATGGTTGAGCCTGATACTACCGTGTTTCCCCGAAAATAAGACATCCTCCGAAAATAGGACCTAGCGCATGGAAAGATGACATCCCTGAAAATAAGACCTAGCGCAACTTTGGAAGAAAAAATGTAAGACACGATCTTATTTTCAGGGAAACAGGGTAGCTCCCTCTACAGAAAAGAACACACACAACCAGGCTATCCTCCTCGGTCCCAGCTCCTCAGGGTCCCCACAAAGACATGGTGTGGCAAAAAGGAAAGTCCTCAGAATCTGCTGACTGATGCGAGCCAGATCCTGAGTGGACCACACTGCTCCCAGCTCCCCTCCAAAAGGCATCCACTGGCAAGGGCTGCCCCAAGGGGCACTGCCACCAGCCTGGCTCAGACACAAGCCTGGGCTAGGAATGTTGCTGCTCGACCGACTTCACACCATCCGGACTTCTGGTTCCCAGCTCCTCCCTGAAGCTTCTCCATGAGGCCCCTGATGGGCTCAGGGGCTGGAGTGGGACTCTCCGGGGCCTTTGGACAGCACATAGTAGACAATCTCCTGGGCATTGGCCTGATTCACCACGTGGATGACAGGACTGGAGGTGTCCTGAGAGGCCGAGAGGCTGTCCTCACCACCTCCGCCCTCCTCTTCCACCTCTGGCTGGGGCCCTGGCTCCCCGGGCACTGTTTCTAGAATGATGCTCTGCAGGCCGCTCTCGTTCAGGGACGCTCCCAGGTCCGAGCCCTCCTGTGGCTGCCGCAGCAGCTGCTGTGTCAGTTCCACACTTTCATAGCGAACCAGCTGCAGCCGCATGTAGCCGTCCTCATGCTCCTTGTATCTGGGGAAGCAGGAGCGGGCGTGGCATCAGGCAGGGGCGGGGCCACAAAATGGGGGCGTGGCAAGTGAGGAACAAAACCAAGGGATGAGGAGCCCTGGGCTTCTCAGTAATGGAGCTGAAGACAGAGATGTTTATCAGGACATGAAAGCCAGAGGAAGTTCTTAACTCAAAATAGAGAATTTTAAGTAGAAACCCAGAGGGTGGGAGTGAGGGAGGAGGAAAAATAAGAAATTACTACAGAGGCTGAGGTCAAGGAGCTATGGTTCTGGACCCTTAGGTTCTACTTCTATTTTGGCTGCAGGACTTTTTATTGACAAAACCATTTATTGGGTTTGTCACTGTACCTTGAATTCAAAAATCAGAAAAATATTTTTGCCTCACTCACTGCTATTCTTGGGGTTCCTTGAGCCTAAATGGGGATGGAGGGCATCAAAGCACTATCACATTAAAAACTGTAATTTGAATATGGGAAGAAATGTGTATGAACCTATGGGAGGGTGGAGACATACCGGAAACGGGGGTGCCCTGAGGGCCACTTGAACTGGTGCTTCTTTCGAAGATGCACAGTGAGGTTGTTACCCCTGGTGAAGCATTTGTCACACACGTGGCATTTGTACCTTGGCTCTGAGTAACCCTGATGGGGGGGAAGGGAGGTCAGCTCTCAGCTCACCCCCCGCCCTCCACTCTGCTGACCCTTCCACCCCAACCCCACTCACTTCATGCACTTTCCGGAAATGGGACTTGACGGAACAGAGGGCTCGGGCGCTGAAGGTGCAGTTCTCAACATCACACTTGTAGGCTGGCTCCTTGCTGTGGGTATCCAGGTGCTTCCGGAGATCGATCAGATTCTTGCAGCTGTCAAGAGAGGTCAGGAGGATGGGAGGGCATGGGGATTCTAGAACACCAGGTCTGTGATTTCCGGCCCTGGTTCCCCTTACCTGTAGTCACAACAGTCGCATTTAAAGGGCCGGTCCTCGCTGTGGCGAAAGCGCATGTGGTTGCGGAGGGAAGATGGCAGGGGACAGGTCATATCGCACAGAGGGCACTTGTAGTGGTTCACTGAGGAGCAGAGGAGGCTGTATCTGAGGGCCAGGGGAACCTGGGGGGTGGGCAGGGAGGCTGGTGGTGCCCACTCACTCACCATGGTTACGCATGTGGTCTCGAAGCAGCCTCTCAGTGGCAAACCTCTTGGAGCAGTGAGAGCACTGGAAGCGCTGCTCTGGGGCAGGCAGGAAAAGAAGGGGTAGCTGGAGAAGAGGGCGGAGGTAGAGGGGAGAACGAGTCCCAGAGGGGAGCCTCCCAGGCAAAAGGGAACCACCCGAGAAGACAGGGGCTTAGGGACTAGGATGGACAGAATCACGGAAAGAGCGTGGGACTTGGCACGGAGAACTGAATTAGAATCCCGGCTTGGACACTTACTAGCTGTGTGATCTCAAGTAAGTGATTTTAAGCTCTCTGAGCCTTAGCTTCCTCATCTGAAAAAAGGGGATAAGAGGCCTACCTCACGGGCTGCTGTGAAGAATCACTAAGTAACTGACAGCACAGTCAGCAGAGTAGCAATGCCTAATAACTGCGAGTCAGCAGAGACCGCGCAGGTGCCCGAGCCCTAAGGTAGACCGCCAGGTTGCACACACCCTGGAAATACGCCCCAACCCCACAGGCTGAACAGCCTGCACCCACTCTGACTGCTTACGATCCAGTGAGGTCTGGCGACGGATGTGGTCTAAGAACTTGGTGTTGTTGGCAAACATGCCCCCGCAGGTGGGGCAGGCCGCCACCTTCTCCTGGGTGTGGCTGCGGAGGTGCTCTCGAAGCTTACAGTGGTCCTTGAAGGTGCAGGTGCAGCCTGGGGAGGAAGGACCAGGCAGGCTCCAGCCACACGCCCACGGAGGCTCTGGACCCCCACCCGCGGCTCTCCAGAAGCAGCCAGCTCTGCCCGGCAGGACACCCAGGGTTCTTCAGAGGCCAGAGCTGAGGAGCAACCCTACCTTTCCAGCCACACAGCACCACATGGTTGTCCTTGCCAACGACTTTGTATTCACAGCACAGGCTGTGCGCCTCCACGTGCCGGTAGAACCACTCAGGATTGTCGAAGGATCTCTGTGCCAGGAGCAACTTGGGGTAAGGACTGAGGGCGGGTGGAGGGATCCTAACCCCATGCGTCCACAGGCTCCCTCCCAAGTGAACTCCGAGGGCAGGGACGTTTGAGCAAGGGAGCCCCGCAGCCATGAAGGAGTACTAGCAGGAGCCCAGGACCGTAAGGGTCCGAAGAAAGGCTCAAGGCTTCTAGAGTTCAGACCTGCAACTTCTCCCCGCCCCTATTTCTGGCAACTACCTGCTGACCTCACAGTGCTCCCACAGACACAGGAAGTGGTCCGGGATGTCCGGGATGATGTTGCGACTGTGGAAGTCCAGGATGCAAGGGCTGAGGTCGGCCTGGCTCTGCAGGGCCTGCAGCCCCCACTGCTTCAGCTTCGTGTGGTAGCAGTGGAAGTAGACGTGGCGGACAAGGTCGGCAGAACTGTCCAGAGAACAAAAGCCACACTCCTGCCATAAGCAGGAGAACTCTTCCCCTGCAGAAAGGGGTTTAGAGAGAACACGATGCTTTCTACGCTCGCTCCTTCCACCTGTGGCACTTGGCAGCAGGTGAGGAAGCTGCACCCTGACCAACTGTCAGTTCCTTCAGCACCTTGTGCACCTCCGTGTGCCAAGTGCTGGGATGTCACGAGTCAAGAGCCCCAGCCTCTGCCCTCACAGAGCTTACAGCCAGGGTGGAAAAGCATTCATCGAATCATCACAGGAAGAGTTATAAGCTGTGACCAACCGGAAGTTCCCTGCAGGTGGAACAGAGGGAGAGCAGTCTGGAAGCGCAGTGTCAGATCCGAAGGAGGTCTATGAGCTAGGGGAGAAGTGTGAGCTCGCGGAGGGCGGGGTCCCAGTCCCAGTGCCGGCACCTCGCGCGGCCGGTGGAGGCGTGCAGCTCCCCGGCTGAGTGTGTACTGCGCCTGCGGAAGCTGCTGCCTCCCAACAGGGACACCCGCTCCTGTGTCCAGCACAAACCCTTCTCCTCCCGTGTTCTGCTCCCGATCGTCTCCTCCAGGAAGGTCCGTAACCATTCCATCTAAGCACCACTATCAATGTTTACATGGGTTATACTTTGAAAATGTCACAAACCCTTAATTTCTCTTTTGTGTAAATATCATTTAGCTTTTGAAACTGTTAGCTACATATTTTAGTTACACCTTCAAACAGAATTTGAAGGGAGCTATCTCTGTACTTTCTTCCTCAGTTTTCAAACTCTGCTGTGATCTATTAGTGGTGGCAAAATCAATTTAGGGGATTGCAAACCACATTTTCTTTCTTTCTTTTAATCCTCACTCAAGGACATGCTTGAAGAGAGAGGAGGGAGGGAAGGAAGGAAGGAGACATTGATGTGAAAGAGAAACACCGATCAGTTGCCTTCTGTCTGGGAATGGAACCCGGAACCACATGTGTGACCTGACCGGAAATCAAACCAGTAAAACCTTTCCAAGCAAAGGATAACACTCAAACAATCGAGTCACACCAGTGAGGCCACATTTTTTTTTTCTTTTAAAGAAATAGAATAAGAGAACACTTCAGACAGCATTTAATACAGGTAAATATTTTTCCAAATATTTTTAACTTGTGTGTACAGGGTTGTGATGTAAAATGTATTCCTAATTGGTGGTCACATTAAAAAAAAAAGTGAAAAAAGCAAGTTACCAACAGCTTGTACAGTATAAAAGGAAGGTCAGCCCTGGTCGGTGTGGTTCAGTGGACAGAGCATCAGCCTGCAGACTGAAAGGTCCGGGTTTGATTCCAGATAAGGGCACGTGATGGGTTGCAGGCTTGATCCCCAGTGTGGGGCATGCAGAAGGCAGCCAATGATTCTCCCTCATCAAAGATGTTTCATCTCTCCCCCTCTCCCTTCCTCTCTGAAATTAACAAAAAATGTACTGAGTGGCCAGATTATTATGATCTCTGAACTCATTATCATCTGGCCCTCAGTGTAATAAAAAGGCCCCTCGACCAGTAGTTCAACCAGCAGACTGGCCGGCCAACCGCCCATGTCCACTCCCCCAGGCCAGGCTGGCCGGACCCAACCCATGCACGAATTCATAGATGAGCCTCTAATAAATACATACATACATACATACATACATACATACTAGTGCAGATAGAGTGTCGGCCTGTCAAAGATTCCGGTCAAGGGTACATGCCCAGGCTGTGGGCTCGATCCCTAGTTGGGGGCATGCAGGAGACACCCAATCAACAATTCTCTCATCATTGATGTTTCTATCTCTCTCTCTTCTCCCATCCTCTCTGAAATCAATAAAAATATGTAAAAAACAGCCGAAACCGGTTTGGCTCAGTGGTAGAGCGTCGGTCTGCGAACTGAAAGGTCCCAGGTTCAATTCTGATCAAGGGCATGTATCTTGGTTGCAGGCATATCCCCATTAAGGGGTGTGCAGGAGGCAGCTGATTGATGTTTCTCTCTCATCGATGTTTCTCTCTGTCCCTCTCCCTTCCTCTCTGTAAAAAAAATATAGAGAGAGACTAGTTTGGCTCAGTGAATAGAGCGTCGGCCTGCAGACTGAAAGGTCCCAGGTTCGATTCCAATCAAGGGCATGTACCTTGGTTGTGGGCACATCCCCAGTGTGTGTGTGTGGGGGGGGGGGGGGAAAGGGGTGTGTGTGCAGGGGGCAGCTGATTGATGTTTCTCTCTCATCGATGTTTCTAATTCTCTATTCCTCTACCTTCCACTCTGTAATAAATCAATAAAATGGGGGGGAAAAGTTTAAAATAATATATATAAAAGATATATATACATTTTTTTTTAAAGAAAGAAAGAAAAAGGAAGGAAGGAAGGAAGGAAGGGAGGGAGGGAGGGAGGGAGGGAGGGAGGGAGGGAGGGAGGGAGGGAGGGAGGGAGGGAGGGAGGGAGGGAGGGAGGGAGGGAGGTGAAAGGAATGCAAGGACATAATGAAGAAAGCCAGGGAACTGCAAAGGCCAGTGCTGGTGCTGTAAGAAGTGAGCTGGAGACAGGACAACAGGAGGCTCTTCGGTGACTTTATCTGTGATGAGTGCAGATTTCCGCAAGGAGAAATGAATTAAGAACTTTGATGGGTCTGGTCGTTTAGAAATACATATGAAAGTACCAGTTATCACATAGAGGTAAAAAGAATGTTCACAAAAGGACTGTCAATAATTGCCTTTGGCTGGAAAGATGGCAGATTCATGCTAAAAACCCTCGTTGAATGAGTTTTCTATGCGTCTACAATGTTTTTACAAATAACAAAAGCACAGCTAGAAAATTAAACCACCACTCTCCTGGGCTGCCTTCTCCGTCGTGGGAAGGAAAGTCCGATGTTCCCCTTCCCTTGAGCTCTTTCCCCTCCCGTGTCCCCTTACCCAGCAGGTCCTCCTCCTCTTCTTCCTCCTCCTCCCCCGAGCTGTGCAGGTGCTTCTGCAGGTGCTGAGTGACATGCTCGAAGAACTCCTCCATGGCTGAGCACACAAAGGAGCAGGACCCCCACTCACACTGCAGCCCCAGGTTCTCCTTTCGGGGGGCTTTCGCAGGGGGCGGCATGGCCTTCACCCTAGAGGAGGAGGAGACCCCAGCTGCAGAACCACTGGTGTGGCTAGGGGTGACCCTGCGTAGGCAGCCTACCTAGAACCTGCAGCAAAGACTTCCCAGCCTAACCGGTGTGGCTCAGTGGATAGAGCGTCAGCCTGCGGACTGAGGGGTCCCAGGTTCGATTCTGGTCAAGGGCATGTACCTTGGTTGCGAGCACATCCCCGGTGGGGGGTGTGCAAGAGGCAGCTGGTCGATGATTCTCTCTCATCGATGTTTATAGCTATCTATCCCTCTCCCTGCCTCTCTGTGAAAAATCAATAAAATATGTTAAAAAAAAAAAAAAATCTTCCCAGTCACCTGTGAGAAAGCCGGGCCTTTTCAACAAGGATGGAATAGCTCCTCAAAACCCTGGAAGCTTTCTGTGTTCTCGGGAAAACAGAGAGTACAAACTAACCTTGTTTATTAGTAAGTGCCAGGCACTGAGCTAAGCACTTGAACATTTTCTCATATGGCTTCAGAGCAACCCACCGGGGAATTATTCCTGTGAAGTAGAACCAAGCTCAGGTTCAGAGATGGCTCTGGAGAAGAACCAGAGTACAAATCCAGACTCCATGGACCACCATCCATTAGCTGTGTGACTTCAGCCAAGTAACTTAACCCTCTGCTCCTGAACATCATCAGCTTCAAAATGGGATACCCAAACCTTCTGCTTTTAAATTCGCACTTACTATATGCCAAACACCATACTAAGCACTTTATTCACATTGTGTTGTTTAATTTCATCACACTATGAAGCACAATTTTTTAAAAATATATTTTTATTGATTTCAGAGAGGGAGCAGGAGAAACATCAATGACCAGAATCATTAATTAGCTGCCTCTTGCACTGGGGATGGAGCCCGAAATCTGGGCATGTGCCTTGACCTGGAATCAAATTGTGACCTCCTGGTTCATAGGTCAATGCTCAATCAAGGCTAACTTTATTTACAGATAAAGACCTGAGGCTCAGAGAGATTAACTGGTTTGCTCAAGGCCACGCACTAGGTGTGACAAGGTCAGGTTGGGCTAACTCCGAAGTCCATGCTCCTTCTAACTCCACAGCCTGCCCATGAATGCAAAGCTCCTCATTTCTTCCTGCATCGCGTTACAAGGCCCCGCCAGACTCTCAAACGCCATACAATCTGCCTCTCCCATACAATCTGCCTCTCCGTAACCTACCAGGTGTTTACTCCAACTCTCCCCCAACATCCTCTAAACAAAAATGTAAAGAAGAAAAAAAAGAGAGAAGCCCATTCTTCCTTTCCCTGGGGAGGGGATAATTCCCTCTTGCTCGTGAGCTTTTTAATAAACTTCTTGCCTGAGCACTAAAAATAAACAAACATATAAAATACAGATTTCTGCCCTAACCGGTGTGATTCAGTGGATAGAGCCCTCGGCCTGTGGACTGAAGAGTCCCAAGTTTTATTCTGGTCAAGGGCATGTACCTTGGTTGTGGGCACATCCCCAGCAGGAGGTATGCAGGAGGCAGCTGATCAATGTTTTTTTCACCTCAATTTTCTAACTCTGTATCCCTCTCTGTAAAAAATCATTAAAAAAAAAAAAAAAATTAACGCAGATTTCATTTGAAAGAAACAGGCCAAATCTGACTAGTTGATACCATACCTAACTTGTATTCAGCATGCTTAAGTATGTATTAAATATTTGTTGGAAGAAAGCTAAATAAAAAACAAAAGGTTCTTGCCTGGCTGGTGTGGCTCAGTGGTTGAGCCTCAACCTATGAATCAGGTCGAGGTTGATTCCCTGTCAGGGCACATGTCCGGGTTGGGGCTCCATCCAACAACCAGTTAGTTTTCAATTTTTAGAAAAGCATACAAATGCAGAGTTCTCCTGTTCCCACAGAGGGGCTTGGATTCAGGAAGGCTGGGGTGAAGCCTGGGAATCTCCCCTTTAACTCAGCACTCCATTCTCATGCGGGCAGTTCCAGAACAGAGTTTGAGAAGTTTCCCTCATTAAAGGAAAACAGACAGCAGAGGATGACACCGAGCAAAAGTTCTGGGGGATGAGAGGATGCTAGAGGCCTTGACTCTGTCCCAAGTGTCACCTCACCCAGAGACTTCTAATTCTCACTGATTCTCAAGGCCCCCCCTGTGGACCCTGGGAGCAGGCATGGCTCCCTCTGGCCTCCCTGGGACAGGCAGGACCTATGAAAAAGGCCTCTACTACACCCGGAGAGGCGGCGGGAAGAGAGAATACAAAATCCATAAACCCGTCATGCCCACAGTACAGGAGCCTAACCGCTCCCAGAGAAAGCCCTTCAATCCACAGCCCTCGGCGCCTTCGACACTGGGGCGAGCATGGGTTTGCTGGGCTTCCCCAGAACATCTCAAACCTACCCTTATGCTGCTCATGGTCATCGTGATTGTTTCATGTGTTCTATTCTCATGTACCCAACTGGGCAATCTTAGCTGCTTCTGCGCAGAAGCCACTTCACACCCACCTGTGACACAGTACTGAGCACAAACATTCTAAACACACTACTGCTGAGCCCAGAAGCAGGCTGCCAGAGATCTAGAATGGCCTGAAACCTCGCAAGTCCCCGGGTCCCTCTTTCACTGGCCCCAGCCATCCTCACTTTGGCTGTGCCCTGCTTATTTCTACCCTGGGAGTTAGGGGACAGCGTGACTATCTGATCGCCACATTTTCCCAAGGCAGGGAATGCAAAGGGGCACCAACTTGTGCAGTGGAGTACTGGACCAGCTGTAAGAAGACCTGGGTTCAAGTTTTTGCCTCAATGACTTGGCTATGCCTAGAATAATAGAACAATAAATGTCAAGCACTATTCCTAAATTTTTTTCTATTGTATAAAAATGCATTAATAACTCTGCTGGCATGGTTCAGTGGTTGAGAATCCACCTATCAATCAGGTCGAGGTTGATTCCTGGGCAGGGCACGTGCGGGGATTTCGGGCTCCATCCCCAGTGTGGGGTGAGCAGGAGGCAGCTGATCGATGATTCTCTCATCATTTATGTTTTTTTAAAAAAATATATTTTATTGATTTTGTACAGAGAGGAAGGGAGAGAGATAGAGAGTTAGAAACATCGACGAGAGAGTCATCGATCAGCTGCCTCTTGCACACCCCCTACTGGGGATGTGCCCGCAACCAAGGCACATGCCCTTGACCGGAATCGAACCCGGGACCCTTCAGTCCGCAGGCCGACGCTCTATCCATTGAGCCAAACCGGTCTTGGCTCATCATTTATGTTTCTCTCTCTCCCCCTCTCCCTTCCTCTCTGAAATAAATAAAAATGTAAATAAGTAAGTAAATAAACAAAAATGATTAAATACAGGAACCCCACTGAGGTAAGTACTATTATTACTCTACTCCACTGATGAATAAATGGGCCAGTAAGTTAAGTAATTTACCTAATGTCACAAAGTTAGAAATTGATGGAAAAGAAACTCAAAGCCAGTGAGTTTAGCTCCATTTTCCTCCTCTCTGTCTTACTTTTCTGATTCCCTCCTCCCCACAGACATCACATCTATACACTCAATACCCAAACGTCTCACTAAACACTTTGTCACTCTCCTCCAATATGCTGGAAGCCCTGTTCAGTTCTAACTGCAGGGGGTCTCTTAATACTTAAGCAAACTTAATTTATTACCTTTTTTCTTTAATCCACTGACTTTAGAGAGGAAGGGAGTCAGAAACATCGAGCTGTTGTTCCACCTATGCATTCATTGGCTGATCTTGTACACGCCCTGTGGATGGAGCCCGCAACCTCGGCAGGACGCTCCAACCAACAAACTATTATTTTTTGACAAATCACTTAGCTCCTCTAAACCTGTTTCCTTGACCGTAAAGAGGGATACTAACATCTCAGTAATGGGTAATGGAGTCAACAGATCTGGTCAGAAAGCTCCAACTAGCTACACGACCTAAGGCAAGGTAGCATGGGAATAATTATGCCTGTCTCACTGAATTTACTTATGAACCAATCACATAATATTAAAATGCTCAGCAAAACACACCACTAGAACTCAACAAATGTTAACTATTCGTGACGTATCCTTGCTTCTGATGGTGCGCTGACTTAAGCTTGATCTAATTCTATAATACAAGGAAGGTCAACCAAAGGAAAACGCGGGGCCTTCGCAGGTCTTTTCAACAGGAATCCTAGGAAGATGCCATCAGCAAGTGCTGGCGGGTGAATACAACGCGGGGCACCGAGGGAACCTCGAGTGGGACTCAGGAGGAGGGGCCCGGGCTCTGAGCCCCTGACGACTCACAGTTCGGCAGAGGAGGTAAGGCTCGACGCGAGACGACAGCCACCGAAACAAAGCGCCCGCGAGGGAAATCAGGCGAGAAATCGCGGCGCGCAGGCGGAGACGGAGAGTCCGGGCCCAGCGGAGGGCACCAGGCCCGCAGGGCGGGCAGGCTCGGAGAGAAGAAAGGAGACCCTCCCGGCGGGTAGCAGTTGCCCGGGCCCTGCCCCCGAAGGCGGGGGGGACCGTGTCGCAGCGTCGCGGGGACCCAGAGGAGAGCAAGGAGGTTCGGGGCGCGCAGGCAGCAAGCCGACCGCCGTGGCCGAGCGGCGAGAGGAAGCCTCGCTGGGGCGACTCGGGAAGAGCCGGGCCTCGAAGCCCGCGGCCCCACACGCTGCCCACCCGGCGCGGGGCCCTCCTTACCGCCCCTCAGCTCCCGCGTCTCTCAAGCTCCCCTTCCACCGTGACCATTTCCGGGAGGGCACTTGAGCGACGTCAGCGACAGCCAATAGCCGCTGCGACTGACGGGTGGGCGCGCGCCAAAACCCGGAAAAGGCGGGCGCGCGGGGCGAAGGGCGGTAGCGAAAGAGAGGGAGGCGGGCGCCGCAGGGGTCCTAGCGCCGCGCGGCACGGCAGGGAGCCCGAGGGCCTAGTTCCCCCCACCGCGCAGGCGCGCCCGGGCCACACTACGCTTGCGCAGGCCTCGGGGGCGATGCCAGTCGGGTCTCACCTCCGGATTGGCTCACGCG